CAATCCTGACCCTGAGACACGAGGATGCACTCAATGCCCTAGCTTGTCAGGACCAATGCATCCTGTTCCTCACGCAGGGCGCTCAAGGAGTGACACGTCTCCTCATTCAGGCAGCCCAAGATTGGCGAGAGCAAACGACACCCGTGAATTCTCTCAGGGTATAGCCCTGATGCAGACTCTGCTCGAAGAGCTGATGAGGAGATTCAAAGGTTTTTGCACCAAGCTCTCGGATCCGGACTTCCGTCGACAGGGCATTCTCACCAAGATCATTCTGGAGGACAACACGATCCCCTACCTCCAATGGTGCCATCAGCAGAAATGCCTTGTCCCGTCACAAACGCAGGGCATCAGCACGACCGAGATGGAGCAGAAACTTCAACGCCTCCATGCAGCCCTCCAAGAGCCGGCCAATCTGATCCGGTTCTTTGCACTCAAGGGGTTACACCATGGAAGATTCAGCTGGCCACACGGAAGGGTCCGCTGATGCGCGAGATGAGATCTCTCATAGGCTCAGCAGTCTGGATGCTGGTGGCAGGTCAGCTGAAAGCCCACTCTCAACAGAGATCCAAGGTGGCACAAGAGATGCAGGACTTTGCGTACCCCCGCCGGCGCGGGAACCGCCGGCATTGAGGGACCTCTTACGCGGTGCACTTTTGGGGGCGCAGCTGCAGAATGACAGCTGCTGGCGCTGGGCAAACGCAGGTTTGCTTTGCACCATTTGGGCTCTACTTTGTCGCCAAACCTTTTCCCTTGAGGTTCAGATTCGCCCAGTTCGAGCTTTCCTTCACAGGCTTCAGACCATGCTGGGGACAAGTGTGGCCTTGGCCTTTCCTGACCTCCTTCGACAGGCTGCATCGTCATGTGTGCCACGAGATGTTGGTGAATTTGTTTCGGAGCTCGTCACCTGGCTTGAATCTGAGGCAGTATCCATGACCTGGGAACGCCGCTTTCTGGCTGGATCAAAAGTTGAGCGATCAGAAGCTGGTTCATGGCAATATCCCATCTCCTTGGACTGCTTATATGAACTGGACATTCCTGCCCCCACGTTGTCTCAGCTTCTTCAGCCATGGGTCTATGCAGAATCCATGCACTCAGCCTTCCTTTCGATTGGCACTTCAAAGTATACACATTGATCGTGCCTTGATGTTCACTCCGCTCCTAGGCCATAACAACTTGCTGGAGCTTGAGGATACCCTGGACCTCCCGTTCTTTGAGAACAACAGGACTCATGACATTCACTGGCTCCCTCATGTGCCACTGTCAGGTGTGGTGCATCTTGGCAGCCGAAACTCAAGACACTTCATCACCTTTGTAAAGGCTTGGAATCCGCACTACGAGCTGGACGATGCCAAGCCAGCTAAGACGCATCAGCGTCTTCTAGACTGGGCCAAACGACGCCTGGTCCTGATTTGGTTGCGCCCGGCTCCTTGCAAGGCTGACTCCACAGCTCCCTCCTTGGAGGATATGTGCGCCTCACCCATTAACAGGTCTGGACCCATGCCGACTCAGGAGCATGATGAAGCCATGCCACTGGAGCATCCAGCGGATGACACTGAGGCCTCTGATGAAAGTGCCTTGGATGTATCTTGGCTGGCTGCCTAATGCTGACCGCACCGATCAGCAACAGCTTGATCTGCTGCTTTCCCGCATTGCAGCAGTTCTTGACCCTCCAGCTGCTGCCGCTCGGCTGGGAAGTGGTGGTATGCGCTGATGGATGGAGCTGCTGCGCGCCCCGCCCCTGCGCTGTGTGGCTGACCCCTCCTGAGATGATTGGCTGAAGGCATAGCTCATTTGGGATTCACGAAATCCCTGCGCCGTGTGATTTTTGACTTGCATTTTGCACTTTGCCGCTCTCAGCTTTTTGGCTGTTTTTGAGCTGAACCAAACCGATGAAATGATTTTGACATCTCAATGAATGAACTTGAGCAGAAGCCTTAGGTCAACTGACCTTTTCCTTCGACCGGCACCCTCACTGTGCCAAATGGCTTGTCTGCTACGCAAAAGCTCTCCCACAGAGGAGTCCGCTAGCCACTGAGCTAGTGAAGGCTGCGCAACCCCTTGGGCGCGTGAGAAGAAAGAAGTTGTTGTTGTTGTTGTTGTTGTTGTTGTTGTTCTTGTTCTTGTTCTTGATCTTGATCTTGTTCTTGTTGTTCTTGATCTTGTTCTTGTTGTTCTTGATCTTGTTCTTCTTGTTGTCGTTGTTGTTGTTGTTCTTGATCTTTGATCTTGTTCTTGTTGTTGTTATGTTTGAAAGGGCTTTGTCGCATAGTTCCTAACAGTCCATCTCTTGGGCGGGGCCCCCCTATATCGCGCGACGCGGCGCTCGCGAGGATTCCAGCCCCTCACTTGCTACAGCAAGAACAACTCCAGCTAGCTGGCGCTAGCTTTCGTGAAGCGAGCACTTCACCAAAAATACTGCGAATACTGGGCTCGCAACATAGCGCGCCTCCTGCCCAAACCTGCAAGTCAATGCAATTTGTTAAGATGCTGAGCATGATGGGTCAACGGAAGATGTGTTCCCCCACCTTGTCCAAGCCTGCCGTCCAGCAAAGACTGCCTAATGAGATCTGATGAGATCCAATGAACCAGCATAAAGCGCCAACTGATGAGTGATTACTGAAACACAAACGCATAAGGCCCTCTGCCCTTGGGCGCGAACAATCGACGCATGCGGACGCAGCCCTAACATATAACGGGATATTCATCAAAACAATTTGTAGTTGCCTTCGGCTAGTTTCAGGTCAACTGAACTTGCGCATGGTGCCAGGGTTCAAGTCAATGCTGCAATGGTAAGGTTAAGAAAAAACATAGGGACAACAGAAAAATACACGAAGTCACTCACTTGGCTAAGGATCTGTGAATGGGAGCCGAGAAGCGGATGCGCGGTGCGATTCGCAACACGGTCAACAAGGACATCGTTCTCATCCCAGAGATGAAAAACGTTTGCATCCACTCACGCAAATTGTTTTTGCCCGAAAAAACAATGCGCTTTTAACGGCAAAACCCAGGCGGAACAGCCTCACTTTGAACCCACCTCACACAGCTGTGGAACAGTTGTTGGGCTGAATGAGGGGAAAGTGGTGAAGCATGGTTGGTTTGACCTTGCACTTAGGATTTCAGCGTGTGCAAATTCGATTGTGGTTGGACAGACAGAGAAGTTTAAAGCACCAAGTTGCGTGGCGTGGATTACAAGTCAATTCCTGTAGGCTAATTCGGGGTGTTTCATGTTGCCCCCCTCGACCGGAAACGAACGATTAACTCAAAAACATGAAAGCGCGCACGAAAACGCGCTCATGAGAGCACACACATGGCGAACACAAACACACACTTAATAGAAATGCGTACTGATTTGGTTGCGGTTTGCCACACGCCGGCCTAAGTGAAAAACCTAAGGAGCCAGGGCAGGTAAAAGTACGGTGGCCCAAACCTCTACAATTACAAACCTTCACGGCCTCCAACTCCAAATCGACAACGCATATCTGCCGAGGATGAACCGATGCAAAGGCTGGAGGTCTTGTTCTAGCTAAAAGCAGGGCCCAGGATGAAGTTTCTCAGGTAAAACTGCAGGTACGCCGAGTTGATCAGACTCGGTATCCCATGATTGCGGTAGCTTCGTTGAGTGCGGTCCCACAATCATGCCGCACTCCCCTGCAACTTAAAAGACATTCAGACACAGTCCTAATGGATCCCTATGGTTCCAAGGGTTACACACACACACAAACACACCCCAAGTGTGCTTAGATGCGTATGTACAGTGTATATACATATACACAAATAATGCAACGAGTATCTTTGTACTGGGAACCCCCGCTCTAACATGCGAGCTATCTCGACCCTAGCTGCCCAAGCCCCGACAGCAATGACGCCGGACGTCTTCCCAAGCTTCTCTCGGGAACAGGTGCTAAGCCCAGCGTAGTCCTCTTGGCTTGGCGGCCTCTTGGGTCTGTTCCTCCCTCCATCTCCCCCCGCTGAAAAACAGCACTGGGGCAGGAGGGCTGAACGGGTGAGCTTGTAGCCAAAATGGCCACGGGTCGGTTCTGCTACTGGAACATTCACTTTAGTACCAAGGCACAAACTGCGAATATATCATATGAAGTTGAAGACGGAGAAGTTTGCAGGGGACGCCCAAGCCAAGGAAGCTTCTTTCAGCACGTTGTCTTAGAGTATTAGTAGTAATATCAACCTTGATTGCTATATGCCATAATATGTTGTTGACCTTTCGGCTCTGTGGTTTGGACCCTACAGAAATTTTGCAATGCAGGTTGTGTAATCCAAGATTGATTTATAAACAACGCATTATATATTTCACTATGATTCTATGATATTCTTGGCAGAGCTTCCCATGCCGTCCCCCGCTTGTAGGATTTTGCATTGCGCTAGAAAGTTCCAGCCTCGTTTAGCCCATCCATCATCGGCGTGAACGTCTGCGCCTTGGCCTTGCCTTGACTGTAAAAACTCAGATGATCAAAAATAGAAAAAATACATGTTTAAAAGGACAAACATCTGCTCATATGGCTGTTTATATTCTTTTACTGCATTGCATGACTTTCACACACCCACCTGTGTGCTTAACCGCCGCATGGGTCGTGCAGGCTCTGTCTCGAGCTCCTTCCAAGTATTGTTGTGGTGTTGTGGCAATTGTCAACGTTCTAGGATCTAGAACATTGGTTCAATTGGTTCTAAGCCACAAACAGCAAGGTGCCATGAGTTAGCATTTCCAGGCCTTGGCATCCGCCTCATTCTCCTGATCTTGCCATTATTGAAATGTCTAATTTGATTCAAGTTGAATGTATGCTGGATGCATTTAGCACCTTTCTCCGATCTGCTGCTGAAAGTAAACTACATCAGAAAAGCATCTGATGAAGCGAGATGTATACGAGAATGCAGGATACAAGTTTGAATAAGGTTTATCGAGAGTAAGGTCGACAGCAATGACAGGTTTGACAACTGTTTGTGTTCGAAAAGTTCGCACCTCTTCTTCCTCCTTCTCCTCTTCTTCCTCAGTGAACTTTTTTCCAGTGTCTCATGGAACAAAAAGTTATGCCACATATAGCTGCTACTTGACTTCTCAAATGGTCTGAGCCGCAAACTAGGCTCTGCCCAAAGCCTCTGCCAGGCGCCGAAAGCTCTTCCTCTTGCTTTTCCTCAAGGCAACTGCAAAAGCTCGGATACTGGTGGCGCGAGGAGTGACTGCTAGTGCTGTCAATGACATGTGCTTTGCTCTTAAAAATACTTGAGACTTGAATTGTCGTGTCAAGCCAGACCTGCTCTTTCCTTTTCCTTTCCTCCTCCGCCTCTTGTTCGTACGTGCCGTCGAGGACTTTTTTGTATTCTGGGAACTCCTGGCAAAGTGCTGTGGACACGGTAAGGCGTTCCTGTGCAAACGGACTCCGCCAAACGAATTATCATCTGGAACGTTTCAGGCCTCGCCAAGCTGACTTCGAATGACATAGGTCTGCGCTTGCGTCAAAAGATTGTTGCACAACCTTGATATGAAGAGGTTGATGCCAAGGTAGTGGCATAGTAACACAATTACAGTATATAATTATATACAGTGACTTTGAATGCTCTCAAGATGGAGCCGTTCTGAGGCAAACTCCAGTAGACTCCGAGACCTGCAGGACTGACAAGGCCTGTGTATCCGATCACCAGCCTGGCAGTTCTGCGAGCAGTTCCCTCGCAGATGCTGATAAAAATGCAAAGCAAGCCTGTCCAAACAAAGAAAAGAATGATAATGCCATTCCTACAAACACATGCAGCTCACGGGATGACATTTTGCACAATTGCAGCTGGCCCACCCCTCAATTTGGACAAAACGCGTGGAGCACAAGAAACGTGTGTAATGCAGGTGCAATCTGAGAATTCTGCTGATTTCCAACCTCGGGCTGGCTCACTTTCTGTGTGACAATTTGGCCTCAGGTGTGCTTGATGTTGACTCAGGGGTGCTACAAAAAAAATGATGAAATTTTAAGGCATGCGCTGCCAATGAGAAGGACGGGGAGTACACAATATCTTGCTGCATCAGTCCTCAGTGCAGGCTCCTTCACAACTTCACATGTGACACGATTTCAAAGATCGGAAAGCTAACATGCGGCACACTGTGCTTCAGGCCATCCAATGAGGGGGATAAATTCATCAGCTGACTGTGACTTGACAAGCCAGTCCTAGATCCCAAATGCACTGCGAGAGCAGAATAGAATGGTGATCTTTGAACATGTTGAACTCACTTTGCTTCCGAGTATGTTGACTAGCTGTCCAGGTTGGGATTGCCAGCTGTAGGGCCAGCTAGGCTGGGAATCCACAGGAATGGTTCCTGACCGAGTGCCAGCAAAATGTACTTTGGTTTCATCCACTTTTCTCTGAGGCTGCTCGATGCACTAGGCACTTTTCTGACAAATCATGTGGTTGCCACACTTGCAGCAGCCTGGAACTTCGGATTTATCTGCGACAGCTTCTGGATTGAGCGGTAAAGCCCAATATAAATGGGAAACTGCAGCAGAGAAGGAATGCACCTGGCATACCCAGCCAAAATGTAATTTGTTGTGCCGTGTGTTTCGTGCATTTGGATCTCGAATGCTGTGGCTCTGGGCGCACCCTCCCAAAGGATTCACACCACAGTCATCGTACAGTCGCAGCATCATCCGATTTTGGGTCTCCTGAAAAACACTTGTCACCTAACACAAGTGTCTGCAAGCTGCACGAGTGTCTGGACTGTGTCCTGGTCATTTTTGTATTTTCGCTGAATCTGATCAACTTTAGGCTTAATGAGCTGCATGATTGCACCAGATCCTCCCGAGAAAGAAACTGCCAAAGTCCACTGAATTTGACAAGCCTGAGGCTCTCACGAAGAGCTGATTGATTCAAAGGATAGGTCAGCACCTGTGACTCGCCGCTAGCAAGCAATTCGCAACAAGCACCACTCACTGGCATCCCATCCAACATACAGCATCAGTGACCTTGATCAGGAGGGTGTAGCCAATAATGGCAAATCCTCAGAGGATGGCAGCAAGTGGAACATGCCGATCAACCACCAATGACAAAACATTTGGCAGCCCCTCAAAACCCTGCTCCTTCATGGACACTGGGCCCCATGGTTTGCGTGCCAAATGGTGCTGTGCGGAACCCCTACTCATGAGGTGGAGCCTTCATCGTATTTTAGAAAACCCACTAAGAACCGTCTGGGCAGCCTTCCTGGAACCATATCCCAAAGAACCTTATATAAGTCGGGAAGTAATGGTGACAGGAATAGTGACATGAACTAGGTAACTAGAACTTGAAGCCAAAACCAGAGCCGTTCTGAAACCATCCCGTGGACCCGAGCAAGGAACAGTCTTGACACAGTATAGGGAAACAAAAGGATGTAGAGCACAGGGAACTTTCGGAAACCTCATTAGAGAACCCCATTGGAACTCGGAGCCTCGGCATCAAATTTCTTGGGAAAATGGTCTTTGCTGCAACCTGCTCTGCACCTGAAGAATTTCACACGCTGGGCTTGATGCCAAAGCTGTTTGGGATGTGCAACTGATCCTCAATGACCTCAGCGGTCCATCAGCCCATCGGCCATGCAGCCATAGCTTTCATGATATTGTTTCGGCATCAAATGCACTTGGAGCATGGCACCATCTATTCCTGCAATGATTCCAGCATTGAATTGGATCAGTGGCTCAAACCTGGCGATCATGCCGACGTTCTGATACTTTAAAGAGTGTCAAAAAATTGACGAACTCGTTTCCAGACCAGTCTCCGCTGCTCTGTGCAACCTCGCCGACCACCTGCGCCAAGACAGTCGCATAAGACTTCCAAAGACTCTTGGTCCGTCAACCACTCTTGTAAACATTTGAGACGAAAATGGAAACCTTGCTCTCACAGGTCCCACATGTAATCCCACTAGTCTCTCTCTCTCTCTCTGCTTGATGCTGTCAAATTTGTCGTCTGGCAAATCAGTCCTCCTCAGCATCGTCAGCAACATCAGCTGCTGCTTCTGCTACAGCACCGACAACCTTGCGCTGTGTGTATCGCGTGTGTGTGTGGCGGTTGCGCACGATTTGCCTAGCCTCTTGTGCCATAGCAGGATCTGATGCAAATGCCTCGGGCACGGTCAGGAATGAATGGTTGCTCGGTTGCCGGTTGCACAATGCTTCACCTGAGATCACTGGTCTTTATGAAAACTAACTTAATCTATCTTCGAGGTCTTTGAAAGGAACAACGCAGCACATGTGCGAGGATCAACTGATGAAATTCTGCCGTCAATCTGAGCGCAAATCTGCCAGCGTTGCCAAAGCACCTGCAACCTTGTCATGCCCGTAGGAGAAAGCTGCTCTTGGACAGTCTTCAAAGAATTCTAGGAAGATACTTTACAATTGGCCACAGCAATATGGACATGAGAGTCCAAAAAATCAATGCAACTCTCAGATCCCTGCCACTGGCACTGGAATGTTCGGAATTTGATGGTTCTGAGAAGAGTCCTTCCAGAGGTTTCATAATCAAACGAAATGGCAAGACTTTGGGCTCCTTCTCAGAGGTTTCTGCGGCCTTGGAAGTGCTCCAAAGCATCAATTGGCAAGTGCTCCAAATTGTTCCTCTTTTAACTTTGGTTCTTCAGTTCAGTGCTTTTGCAGATCTTTCGGTCGCACGTGGCTAAGTGCCAAGCAGCCAGCCGAACGACACTGCAACCTCATTGCGGGGATTGCATCGTGCACTCCAACAATCCGCCCCTTCTGTGTTGGTGGACGGTGCGGTTCGGACACTTTGCGGCGACCATGCCTTACGTCCAATGGACATGAAAGTATGGCTTCGCGTGAAAGCTTTCAGCCGCGTCGACTTGATGAGATTCGCTCATAACTTGACAAAATCGGGTTGCTAAATGTATTGAAAACTGCCTGAGAAGCAGAGTCAGAGCCCCTCCACCGGCAATGGCAGCGCCAACACCTCCAGCCATTTCATGAAAGTGTCTAGTCGGAACTTTCCTTGTAGACCCACGGTATAAGTTTTTTTGTTCGCCTGATCTGAAATTCTTTGATTCTCCACTCAAGTGCCTGACGGTGCAATACGCAGAACACATTTTCGGTTGTGTGTTTAAGTTTATACCTTCAAGTTTCAGTTTGCCTGGTCTGCGCGGCGGAAACTCTCAGGTTTGCAAGCTGGGTCAGATCCTGGGCGCCACTCATCAAAAGCCTTGTTCCTCCTCCTTTCCACCTGCCTTCGGCTGAGGTTGCGTGACATACCTCCCAGTAAAAAAAAAAACAAGCGTTGTGAAACTGCCCGGAAAAATTAATGTTCCCATGTTCAAGCAGGCGACGCGGTGGAAGTGGACAAGTGTAAGAGTGCATATGCACCTTCAAGGGGCCACAGACAGACTTGAGGCTCTTTGTGATTGCACACATTGAAACAAGCTGCTCACATGATACAAACGGCACCTGCCACCGAGAGCGTCACCACCTCCCTTGAGATGCCTTACTGAGTGCTTTACAAGCGCTCCACAGCCCTTTTCAAAAGGTCTATATACCGTATACACATATATATATATACACTGTATATAATGCGTGTGTGTGAAGCCCTTGGAGTTATATGGAATCTGTTGATTTTTTGGCAGGGGGCAATCCCACATTGCAGTTGATTGCCCAACGAAAAGGGCTGCAATTGTGGCTGATATCTGGAATGGACGCTTTCCGGACGTACCTGCTTTCTTTTGAACTGTTGATCAAGCTGTGACTCTACTCTCCGGCAAAAAGTGCTACAGTAATGAGTTCTGCAGACAAGTGCTCGCCGCTCGAGTTCTCGTTGACTTCTTCGAGCTCGTGCCTTTGGAATTTGAAGACCTCAGGTTCTCGGTTAAGCCGTCTTACGTACTTATCCCCTGACTTTTTAGGCTTTCATACCTAGGTGGGCGCGTCGCATGTGGCATTCGACTTCAGTACGCATTATCTTGAGTGTGTGTGTGTGTGTCCACACCTGTTTCCGAGGGATTGCATAGCATAGTTCACCGTGGGTGGAATGCACGAAAACCGCAGGGGGGCAGTGGTCCTTTCAGCAGTCAGCTGATCGGATGTGAAATGACTCTGGGACGCCAGAGTCACGTACCTGCATTTTTACTTCCTCCGTTTCACCCATGTTAAACATTCCAGTTCTTGCGGACCCATTCACCTTACCGTGTTGCAAGTCAAGGTCTAGAGTCTAGTTTGCAGCTGGTATCGTATTCACTAAAGTGGACTACCTTCACTGAATCAGCTCTTGCGAGCATCAATCTAAGTGTGTGTAAAACTATACTATCTATATTATATATGTATTACAGTATATCTTTCAGTTGCAAGTGGCTTCGTTGCTCTAAGTCCCAACCTCTGCGCGAAGCGTGGTCCTGAGGCGGCTGGCGAACAAATTTACTTCTTGCACTGACAATTCCAAGCGAACTACCGATGTAACTTAAAAGTAAATAAATCAGGCCAGCAGTTCCATCGCAAGCGATCTGCTCCAGCGCCCTTAGCAGATTATGTTGTCGAACAGACTATTGTCCAGCACACGCCAACCTATAATACTATACAATTCCAAATGCTTCATTCAGGGATAAATATCCCAGTGGAGGCTGCACATTTCTCGAACCTGTTTCTACAATCTTGACAATATCAAGGGCAGTCTTGGCATCTGTCCGAAGGCGAGTGCAAACTTGGCAAATCAATGGATCTTGAACCCAAACGCAAGCAACCGCAGTGAGCATCGCTCGGTCGGTTGATGGTTGTTCAATCATGTTCAAGTGGATTTGAGCAAGTACCACGGAAGCCATGGAAGCTCTGTTTACCCTCGACTGTCTGTTTGAGCAGGCCTAGAGCCGACACAATTCTTCAGCGAGGGCCTCATGATCATTAACAGCCAGCAGCAGTGTGCAGGATTCCAATTGGGAGGAAAACATGTCAGCATCTACACACGGCTAGCCAGCAGTGGGAGGAACCTATCTAAAGCCCCTCAAGATTTATGGCGTGGTGAGAAGCAAGTCTCCACTATTTCACCAGAAGCAAAAACTGTTTGATCTCTCTTCATCGGGGCAAGTGGCCAAGCTTGAAAAAGTGTAAGGGTAGTAAGGCAGTCCAAGTTCAAGCTATCTTGAGGAAAGCCGACTCTGGCACAAAGCCACATCAGTGACTTTCACCAGTGGCTCGTTGCTGCAATAGGATCACCATTGCAGTGACCTTAAGAGCACAACAACACTTGCTGCCACACGGTGAGGTTTAACAAAACACAGGGGCTAGGACATTGTCGCCTCCCGCTCCACCTGTCTGTGCCTCAAATGAACAAACATGCGCACAAACTCAGTCCAGCAATTTGACATCTGTGGGCACCACCAAATCAACGCTGCAGCTGGATTCACAAATGTCTTCAACAATGTCGTTCAGCATCCTCGCAAATCGAGTTAATTACGAGTGCATTTGTGTAATTTCAAAACTGTACATATGCATGACGACGACCTGCCACTGAACACCCTGATGGCCCGCTGTTGGGCGTAAGCCTCCTTTAAAAAATATATATACATATATTACGTCACGTCTATTATCATTATTATATGTTATTGTTTATTACTTATTATATAGTATTATTATTGTTGCTATTAATATAATCATTTTTGATCTACTCATAACAATAATTAGCCCAGCTGGAGACCCCAATAGCAAGATACAAACCGGGACAAAAAGAACAATCTGGAAACAGCTGCTGTTTTCAACACATCGACCATCTCTTCCTTGGACACCATCATCACATAACCGGGACACCATCACAAAATGACCAGGGCACCATCAAAACATGACCGAGACACCGTCACAACACGATTGGGACACCATCACAACATAACCGGGACACCATCACAAGGTGACCGGGACACCATCAAAACATGACCGGGACACCGTCACAACATGAGCGAGACACCATCACAACATGACCGGGACACCGTCACAACATGACTGGGACACAATCACAACATGACCGGGACACCATCACAAGGTGACCGGGACACCAACATGACATGACATGACATGACGGGAAAACCATCACAAAATGACCAGGACACCATCACAACATGACCGGGACACCGTCACATGACCCGGACACCATCAAAACATAACCGGCACACCGCCAAAACATGACCAGGACACCATCACAACAGGACCGGGACACCATCAAAACATGACCGGGACACCGTCACAACACGACCGGGACACCATCAAAACATGACCGGGACACCATCACAACATGAC